AGTCTGTGTTGATTAGGAGACCCCCTGACGAAGGAACGTTTTCGGTAGTGGTACACCAGCACATAGTCCACTTTCCTTCGGCCGTCAGCAAAGTACAGCCGTTTGCGAGGGTCCTGGTCCACGTCCATCAGGCTATTGGCCACCTGAACAGGTGAGAGGAGAATACAATGTACCCAGGCTCAGTGTTCATCAGCAGTGTGTGTGCATATCAAATTCAACTCAGAAGAAAGGGAGGGGGGGGGGAGTATGGTGAGGATAGATGTAGGTCAGACTATTGCTTCTTAATTTGGCTGCTCTCAATACAATTTAGATTGAAAGAGTGAAGGCAATGGACACTTCACGGTTATTGATGCAGTTTATTTCTGGGTTATCCTCCATTCAATTTACTGGCTTTAAAACTAAAGCTAACCTGCTTGCATGTTGCTACAGGTATTCTAGTAGCACTATTCTCGAGAAATTAAAAGCATACTCACATGTATCTTGTTGTCACTTGTCTGCACCATGTTGTCACACTTAAAGAGAAACACAAAAACAAGATGAAACGACGGCAACAGTTCCTCGGCGTTCCCGGAAAATTGTGTGTGTTTCTGGTGGCATGCCCGTTTCTGATGTCACCCTACAGAGACGGCACCATCCATCTTTCCCTCTGTTTATCCATCGATCTCGCAAAGCATGAAATCCATCCGTCTGTCGGGTTTTGGCATCGTTGACTGGGAAGCGCAAAGATTTGCTTCACGCACAACAGAACGCATCTCCACAGAAACTTATGATTTGGCACTGACTAATTGTCCCTGAAGGAATATACCTGCGCGTCTCCAAGCGCCAGAGCGCATCATTACGCGCCGGAGGGGATTGCGCGCCTGCGTAAATATGGTCGCCAACAGGTTCAAAAAATTCTGCGCACATCCGATTAATGCATAAATCGTTCTCTACGAAATAGCGTAGTGATTTAAAGCTTAATACAAAGACTTCAGTGGGGCTAAATGCTCCCATAAGCACAATGTGGCTGCTTCAACATGAAGAAAATATATATTTTTTGTTTGATGGAGTAAGACATATTTGTTAAGGCTGCTGTGAGTAAATAATAATAATAATAATTAAAAGGGATTTAGTGGAAAATAGTATGGATATAATTTCTAGTGATCAAGCAGAATTTGACACTTAGTGCTTAAACTTTTGAGATAGCAAGATTTTCAATTTCATAACAACAAATGTTCAAACTCCTGCTTTTAGGAAGAATCTTGGAGTATAGACATATTTCATAAATTAATCCCCATTGCATTTTCGCTCCACTTTGCAACAAATCTATTCCCCTCACTCAAGAAAAGTATTTTGTTGTAGCTGGTCATCATGCATTACATTACAGCAGTGTAAAATTATTAACTATTAAGATAACTGCATGGATTCAAACTAGCAACTATAACAAAAAATGCCACACTTTAAAACTGATTACATTTTTCAAGTATCACATTACCTCAGTTTTTTTTTTTTATGATTGCATATGTTGACCTCATAGTCAACTTTTCCCATTCGCATCACAGCGACCAACAGGTGATTAGGAAAGTTTTGTGGTGTTTGTTGTTATTTAGTGGTTGTACCCAACCCCATTACCCTTATAATACAGACATTCTTTAGGCCCTGACATTTTATTTCTTTGAAGTACATCTACAAACACATAACACACAAAAACTGAATTTATTTGCCACGTATACATGTTCAGAAGGCTACTCACATGATGCCAAGACTCTTCAATGGAGTCAAACGGATCATCAAAGGTGCAGCTGGTGGATTTCATAACTTCAGTTTCGGATATTTCCCTTATGTCACTGCAAATAGAGGACGACTCACTCAAGGCAGTCCTGACTCCATTCAGAACACAGTTATTCACCTCTGTTGATGGGAAACAGTAAAGTTTTAATCGCAATTAATACCCATTACATTACACATTTAATTCAACACCAATAACACATCTAATCAAAACAAAGTTATATTTTATGCAAAACAACATGTTTCTATAAATATATATAGCCTATATGTATATAAAAATACTGGTGCGCTTCCTAACTAAGTTTTAAAAGCTTGTGTATAGCCAATTATCTGTGGACAGGGTTTGTCATGACTTACCAACATACGAACAGGATCCATTCACAGCCATGTCGCCGGAGACCAACACACAATCAGGTATGGGGCGATTAGAGACTGTGAAGGCGCAAAATCCTCACCAGGCTTTGGCCTGGCTTAATTTAATACCATGACTGCTGGAGAGACGCAGGGCTTATGAAAGTGCCAAACTTTAGCTAATTTTCAGTATACCTTCTGTCATGGGTGAAAAAAGCCCACCATCCAGTTCCACCATATGATCTATTTAAAAACTGAAGTTGTGATTGCTCTTTTTTTGTGGAAATGTTACAGTGAAGCCATTATTGGTTTCTTGAAGTGTTTATTTTGGCTTACACTGCCCTAATAAATTGCAAACTAAAATGTTAGGCCCGCAGCAGCTTTTAATGGGTTGCTGTTTCATATAGGACACCAGTGAAACATCCATTTTGAACACATAAATCACATGCTTTTCGTGTTGCCAAGTTACATTCTATATATAGGTCTATAGGAACTCCACACATTCAGATCAGTGAGGAGACGTGGAATTTCCTCCATTCAGAAGCGGTTCTTATACCCCTCAAAAGCTCACCCACACAACTGCTCTCGATTTGGTTGATTTCCTCTTGGAAACAGGAATGGGGAATATGTCACGTTTAACTCTTCAAAAGCCTGCCTGTTAAATCAGCTTTGAAGCTCTCATTCATTTTACACCTTTGACTTATAGATATATATGCTTTACTTTACTCACACAGGTCTGGTACATTTGGGATGTAGGCTACCAGGAGGGATTTGCACTATGAAGCCATCATTTTTACATGTATGTATTTATCTTAATCCATTCTCGGTGGGAGGTTAAGGCAAGTTATTGATCAAAGTCAACAGTGAACAGGAAAACCAACATAGACAGTGAATTTATTTGTTTGTGGAGAATATTGGAACGGAGACCATCTGAGCACCAAGAGGGTTGAGAATATGGATATTGATGTGACATTAGCGCCATCTTGTGGTTAAAGTTATGTTCTTGTTAAATTGATCAGTTTTCCTGAATGTGTATTGACAAACTAGCCTGTTTGAGAACCACAAGATGGCATCCTTGCCACCACTATCCTCCAATGCCTGCACTCAAAAGAGACCCCCCCCCCCCAATTGTCTTTGTGCCAGTATGAATACAGAGTTGTTTTGAAGAGAGCGATCCTTTCACATAAGGCCTTTCCCTGTCCCCCCTCTCTCTTTTCTCTCTTTCAGAAAGAGCTATAGTTCAAATTCAGTTGAGGAAGTCAAGGAAATGCTTACATATTATAAATATCCACAGTACAGTAAATAAAGGTTACAAAAAGGGGATTTTCACAGTCATGCCACAGAAGAACCATTTAAATGTAAAGATTCTTCATAGAACCGTAGATTCTTTATTTGGTAGTGCACAACGTTTTAAAACATCATTCAAATACATTATAAGAAAAATAAGGCATGAGTTGGAAGTTGAGATGTTGAGGGAAGTGGAACATGGAAAAACTGTGAATTTGGCAACACAGGTGTAAAAGGTTATGCCAGACCACAGACTGACTAAAAACCCTTAAAAACATATGCAATTGGGGGTTTTTTTTTAGCAATAGGAGGATGTTTGGTGATTCTCTGTGACGCAGATTAT